CTCTCGTTGGTTTGCTTTTTTATGCATTTTTTGCATCTGTATAACGAAGAAAACGCATATTGACGAGGGGTTGTCTGTGTGTGTGCTGTGTGTCTGTACTGATTTTATGCATTGGATAGATGTAGAAAACGCACAAAAGTGAGAACAGTCATTCTAGGGATAACGTTAAAAGCAGCTGATGTCGCAAAAAATTTGAGCAAGTACTTTTTTATACAAATTTTATCTGCATTCATTTTGCATACATAGCGCGTTTGTTTCTGTTGCAATGAAATAACGACTTACTGAGATTTGTGCACTTCGTCTTTCACTTCTGATCTAGATGTTCCTCAGTTCTATTTCTGGGTCGTAAAAAGATTACTGCTTGGATTACTTTTCATGCGTTTTTTTCAGCTATGCAATGCAAAAACGCATATTGTCGAGGGGTTGCCTGTGTGTGTGTGTCTGTGTGTGAGTGTGTGTGTATGTGTGTGTGTGTGTGTCTCTGTGTGTCTCTGTGTGCGTCTGTAACGAGTTTTCATCTCGAGATCCACAAAAACTAAAAGGCTGAAAATTTGGTGACTTAATCTACACATACATGCAAGCTCGTATCCTCAAAATGGGCGCCCAGGTCCCGTGGTTCTCACGTAGGGGCACGTGAAAGTTTTTTGGCGGTAAAGCGTTTTCGGAAACGCCCCATGCTAGGAGGCTGGAACTTCACAGAGATGTTCCTTGGCAGCGTCTAATCCAAAGATTTCAAATTCAGCCTTTACGCACCCCAGCTCTTACGTACGCACACGTCAAATTTTAAACTGGCATTATGCCAACTCTATATTTAAGGTAATAAGCTGCAGAGAGCTGCAATTCTGCAGCGTCACTTATCGCCTACTGTTGTAGCCGTGTAACTAAATTACTTGTCAGCTGTTCTACATTTCACGTAAGAATACGTGGAAACTTCACGCACGCGCTTTTGTAACTTCAGAAGTGTGCCAGCCAGAGGATCTGGACTCTCTGAGCATAACCGACAGTGACCTTTGACCAGGTGCACGCAAAAAAGATTTACACATCACTTTTACGTGTTACGCGTGTTCCACTTGTGCACACGTAAAATTTGACGTAACCCTGCTACTAGAGCAGCTGGAGTGCTGAAACTTTTTGAGCTTTACCCAGGATTGTTTTTGAGTAACTGCGGGCGAAGAAAGCATTCACGTTGTCATTCACGTACGAACAAGCGAAATTTCACATAACTGTGCAAGCGAAGCATCCAGAGCGCTGGATCTTCTGGGCATGGATTGGGAGTTATTGTAATAATTTCTAACAGTCGTGGTGGTCAGTCCCAATTCTTTTAGCTAAAAGCATCTGCCAGGAAGAACGTGCCACTGGCGAAAAAAACCTGAGAAGGGAACTGCGCAAAAAACGCATCCTCGTGCCGGCGCCGGTACGCTTTTTAGTAAGTTTTTTGTTACTGTAGAAAAATCTTAGGAAAATTTTTCGAATTTAAGAATAATTGTGTCATGTTGTAGGTCTCAATTATAAAGCTTGATGAAGATATTGGCGAGTTCATTGGTTGCGGAAGTTTTGATCACCCATATCCGGCAACAAAAGTGATGTGGATCCCGGATCAGGTTCATATTGGTCGATGTCTTTGACTGTAATTTAACGCGACTTCTGCGATGTAGTCGTTTTCATTTCATCGTAACGCGAACGGGGCTTTTGTATCACATTTAACCATTTTACTGGGGCGCATTATCTCATCACTTTATCTCCCAAACTTATGGTATGTACGACTTCGACCTGCTATTTGCTACAGCTCAGTAATCCGAGATTGTTGCAGAAAGGAGCTTTCCCAGATCTGATTGCAACAACCGGCGATTATTTGCGGTTATGGCGTGTAGGTGGCGAAGGAGGCGCTCAGATTGAAGTTTTTTTGAATAACGTACGTTTTATGTTTGGTATTATGAGCCGTTTTGGCAGTCTGCGCAGTGCAGTGGATGAGTTTGAATGTTTCCGGCCATGCGTAAAAAATACCAGCAGGCAGGCCAAGCATATGCAGTGGTTTCTTTGAAATTGATTTGACTTCAGAACCGAAGCAGCGAATATTGTGCCCCTTTGACGTCGTTTGACTGGAATGATGTGGATGTTGGCCTCATTGGCACTTCCAGTATCGATACGACTTGCACCATTTGGCAAGTTGAGGTTAATAATCTTGCATTCAAGAGGCTTCAGCGCACTGACGATGAATAAAACGAATACAACGTGATGAAATAGCATTTTAGCTACAGCAAAAATAGAACGGGAGTGCCAGAAGAGATGCAACTTGTATGTATGTACGTGAGTTTATAATGACTTGAAATGTGTGAATTGTGCGGGTGGTGGATCGACGGGAACCAGGTCGAACAACAATATGCTTTATTAGAAATGTGACGGCTTCAGATACGAAGATGCCCAAAGGGGCTATCAGTAGTCACAGTGATAGATTAGTCTGATCGTGCAGGGATAGGGCTGTCTAAACTTTACGCGAAATTCCACGCCGAGCTGTGTAAAAGGTCGCGCTCATTTACAATTACAAGACAACACTAAGTGATGATCAAGTGAAACGAGGAAATTCGGGCGTTGGTCTGTCGGGACGTGACGGTCCGGAAGGTCCAAAATAAATGTCGAGGCTGGCGATGCAGAAAGTCCAAACGAATGTCGACTGCTGCTGAGAAGTTCTTTTATACTCCTGCAATGGAATTTCCATTAGCGTCGGAGGGGAGTTTTTTTCATCCTTCGATTTAGGAATGGTGCACGAAAGCAGCACCTTAAATGGTTTTTCTACCTCCCGTTCTGGAAGCGGAGTCCAACATCCACGGAAAGATATTTCCTAGCAGAGTTTTTGTTTTATATTTTGACTTGCATCAGTACATAACGCCGAAGCATTTGGTTTCCAGTGCTTCTACAAAAAAGGTCCTGAAAGGATCTTTTATATAATCTTTTATATTTTTCTATTTGTCAATTTATAATTAATTTTTAAGTATTTTAAGGTTTCTTTCTGAGCCCCATTTCCCTTACACTACGTACCTTTTAATGATTTCAGACTGGTCAGGCCATAGGGCTTGCACGTTCAACTGAAGGAAGTGTTAAGACGCAGCTGATTGCACACGATAAGGAAGTTTTTGACATCGCTTTTACTAGGCTAGGAAGTGGCCGGGAAGTCTTTGCAAGTGTTGGTATGTCTTTATGCGTTTGTGATATGTGGCGCTACAGCTCTTCTACAGTAGGCAAAAAAGCATTGGAATGAGGTTGTCTTTATGTGTGTGTGTGTTCGCACTTTTTGTCACCCAGTTTCAAGAACCAGAAAATCTAGAAAGCTGAAAATTCGGGAGTATTTGCCCACCCCCTGTGCGACTTTTCTCATTATGCGTTTTTGCCTATATGCAAATTGCAAAAACGCATATTGGGACGACCCTGTCTG